CCTCCTCCAATCCCTCTTCCATCCTCCTCCGCCTCCTCCTCCTCAACCTCCTACCTTTCCTCATCATCCCTATTCCCTCCTCCTCCTCCTCCTCCTCCAATTCCGTCTCCTCATCCTCCTCCTCCTCCTCTTCCGCCGCCTCCTCGTCCTCGTCCATTTCTCGCGCTGGACGAACGCAGGCAAGCAAGACGTCGCGTGCATGACATCATCATCCTGCTGCTCCTCCTCCTCCTCCTCCTCCTCCTCCTCCTCCTCCTGCTCCTCCTCCTGCTCCTTCTTCCCCTGCGCCTCTCCGTCTCGTCCCCCCCCCCTGCCCGCCGCGATTCGAGCGCGCCCCCACCCCGCGCCCGCGCCTTCGGGATGGCGGGAGGGCTCATGGCTGCGAGGCTCTCCGAGGGCCGCCTCCCCGCACCCACGGGAGGGCGGGGGGCCTCCGACCGCCCGCTCGGCCGCCGCCGCTCGGCGGGGGCGCCCCGCTGCTCCTGCTCGCCCACGCCTCACGAGCAAGGGCGACGTGAGCACATACCGCCGAGAGAGGGTGGCAGCAGTCGCGGAGGGGGGCAGGGGGGGCGGTCACTGCTTCTTTGCCCCTGCTCTTCCGTGTGCTCGCACCCTCTCCCCCCGTCGCCCCCGCGCTCCCGGGCGGGGAGCGTTGCTAAAGGCCCCGGCTGGCGTAACCCCTCCCTCTGGGAGCGATCGCCGTTCGAGCCCAGACCAAGCGGCGGTTGCTCCCAGGGGGGGGCGCACCGGCTCCCAGCCAAGCTTCGCTCAAACGGACTCTCCTCCTCCTCCTCCTCCTCCTCCTCCTCCTCCTCCTCCTCCTCCTACTCCTCCTCCTCCTCCTCCTCCTCCTCCTACTCCTCCTCGCTCCTCGCTCCTCGCTCCTCCCTCCTCCCTCTCCTTTCCGCAGCCTCCTGATTGGATCAGGCCAGAGCCCGACAAGGGCGACGGTGTCACCTGATGTGTCAGCACAGCGTTTGAGAAGACATTGTCCTCAGAGAGAGCCTTGCTCCCTTCCTCCCCTCCACACGAGCAGCACAGCGCACAAGTGTCCCGTCGCCTATTCGAAACCCAGAAACCTGGACTCAAACCACATCCGTCATCCCTCCTCCTCCTCCTCCTCCTCCTCCTCCTCCTCCGCCTCCTCCTCCGCCTCCTCCTCCTCATCTCTCCTCCGCTCCTCCTCCCTCCTCCCTCCTCCTCCCGCCTCCATCCCCTGCCCTTCACGGTTGGGCGGCCGTGTCCGCCTCCTCGTCCCTCCCCCCCTTTTCCTCTCCTCCCCCCTCGTCCTCCCCCAAACAGGTCAGGACAGGCTCATCCACGAATGGATGCGCCTCCTCCCCCACACCCCTTCCTTGTAGACAACTCCTCCCTGTCGCACCAGACGAATCGTTCGGGCGGGCCCGGCATTCCTCACGAGACTTCCGCACAACGTATGAACCCGAAGCATGATATTTCCAGTATCTACACGGACGGAGCGCGGGTCGTTTTCAAACTGGGGATCTCCCCTTGGCGCCGCGCACACTCGTCATAAAACAACAGCGAATGGAGGGGGTTGTTTTGAAGATGGGGATTTCGACTGAGCGCCACGCATAATCGTTTTGCAAAAAGGAATTGCACGAATGGGGGGCGGTCCGTTTTCAAAGTGGAGATACCGCTTGAGACTTGTTGCAAAACTGCGAGCCGAAAATCGAAATTCTACAAAAGCTACGCGGATGGATTGCGGCTACTTGGAAAAATGTGGCTTTCGCCGGATACATCCTTCAAAATTGCGCCGGCCTTCCACGGATGAAATTTCGACACGAACCTATCGCTGAACAGTTCCTTCAACATTATGCCGCTGAGAATCTCACCAGCCCTCTGGGCGCCGGTGGTTTAAAGTGTTTCCTCTTCCACCCCTCCTTCTTCCTTTTCGGGGAAGGGTTTATCACTGTTCCCTATTAATAAACACCCCCTCCCCCAGGCGACCGGGGGCCAACCAAGGTCCATGACGACACCCCCCCCCCACAATCTTTTTGTAACAAATAATACAAAACACACTCGGCCTCCAAATTCGGAACATGCGCAGCCAACCCGATGCGCCCCCCCCCCACCACCCCTGTCAACAAAAACCATACAGAGTACACTTGGCGGAGGCGGCGGCGGCTGCTGCAGCGGCTCCAGCGGCGGCGGCGGCGGCGGCGGCGGCGGCGGCTGCGGCGGCTGCGGCGGCGGCGGCGGCGGCGGCGGCGGCGGTGGCGGCGGCGGCGGCGGCGTGGCAGCGGCGGCGGCGGCGGCGGCGGCGGCAGCGGCGGCGGCGGCGGCGGCGGCGGAGGCGGACAGCGGATTGGCCCCCAGTAGCACCCATCCAAAGACGGGTGCTGAATATGCTGAGGTTCGGGCCAGACTCGGGTGCGCGACGTATGTGTTGGGAGGGCGGGTGGGAGTGAGCGAGACGGTTTGCGGACGGGGGGATGTCTTGATCACTGTTCCCTATTAATAAACACCCCCTCCCCCAGGCGACTGGGGGCCAACCAGGGTCCATGACAACCCCCCCCACCATTCCTTGTAAAAAACAATGCAAACCACACTCTGCCTCCAAATTCGGAACATGCGCAGCCAACCCGATGCGGCCCCCCCCCACCATCCCTGTCAAAAAACAATACATAGTACACTTGGCGGCGGCGGCGGCGGCTGCGGCGGCGGCGGCGGCGGCGGCGGCGACGGCGGCGGCGGCGGCGGTGGCGGTGGCGGTGGCGGCAGCAGCAGCAGGCGGCGGCGGCGGCGGTTTGGCAGCGGGGGGCGGCGGCGGCGACGGCGGCGGTGGCGGCAGCGGCTGCGGCGGCGGCGGCGGCGGCGGCGGCGGGCGGCGGCGGCGGCGGCGGGCGGCGGCGGCGGCAGGCGGCGGCGGCGGCGGCGGCGGAGGCGTCGGCGGCGGCGGATTGGCCCCCAGTAGCTGCCCATCCAAACACGACTGCTGAATATGCTCAGGCTCGGGCCAGACTCGGGTGCTACGTATGTGTTGGGAGGGCGGGTGGGAGTCAGCGGGACGGCTTGCGGGCGGGGAGGGGGTCTTGATCCCTCCCCCTACCCCCTCCCCTGGACCTGGACGAGGGGGGGTCGCGAGTCGTCGGAGCGTCCAAAACGGCCTCCGCGAGGAAGCCAAAATCATTGGTGTTACGAAATTTTGGGCCCCATTTTGGCCTCTTGGGGGGGGACGCTGATTGAACACCCCCTCTCCTGTGATCGATCTCACCCAACATTGTCCAAAGATGGCCCCCAAGGCTTCCAAGGGTGCCCCGCGAGGGCCCCAAGAGGTGGCCAGGAAGCCCCAAGCCCCCAGGAGGCCCCCAGGATACCCCAAAGACTCCCAAAAAGACCTCCAAGATACCTCCAAGAGGCCCAAAGAGGCCCAAAGAGGCCCCCCAGGGGCACCCAAGACGCTCCAAGAGGCCCCGGCGACAATGCAATTATCCCGGCAAAGCAACCTAACAGCGATGTGTAGGAGCATATCTGGAAGCATTCCCCTTAAGATTCAGATAAGAATCCTGTTGTAGAATTCTGCTGTTCTCGCAGTCGTGGTCGCATTCGCGATGGCAGTCGCAGTGGCAACAGCAGTCGCAGTCACAGCCTCAGCCTCAGCCTGCCTCAGCCTCAGCCTCAGCCTGCCTCAGCCTCAGCCTGCCTCAGCCTCGCCCTCAGCCTGCTTCAGCCTCAACATCAGTCTGCCTTCAGCCTCGGCCTCAGCCTGCCTCAGCCTCACCCTCAGCCTGCATCAGCCTCAGCCTGCCTCAGCCTGCCTCAGCCTCGCCCTCAGCCTGCTTCAGCCTCAACATCAGTCTGCCTTCAGCCTCGGCCTCAGCCTGCCTCAGCCTCACCCTGCATCAGCCTCAGCCTCAGCCTCAGCCTCAGCCTGCCTCAGCATCAGCCTCAGCCTGCAGCCTCAGCCTCAGCCTTCAGCCTCAGCCTCAGTCTGCCTTCAGCCTCCTCGGCCTCAGCCTGCCTCAGCCTCAGCCTGCATCAGCCAGCCTCAGCCTCAGCCTGCCTCAGCATCAGCCTGCCTCAGCCTCAGCCTCAGCCTGCCTCAGCAGCCTCAGCCTGCTTCAGCCTCAGCCTCAGTCTGCCTTCAGCCTCGGCCTCAGCCTCAGCCTGCCTCAGCCTCAGCCTGCATCAGCCTCAGCCTCAGCCTCAGCCTGCCTCAGCATCAGCCTGCCTCAGCCTCAGCCTCAGCCTGCCTCAGCCTCAGCCTCAGCCTGCTTCAGCCTCAGCCTCAGTCTGCCTTCAGCCTCGTCCTCAGCTCAGTCTGCCTTCAGCCTCAGCCTGCCTCAGCCTCAGCATCAGCCTGCCTCAGCATTCAAACTGTGGCCCGGGAATGGAGTTCTGGGAACTCGAAGAACACGAAGTGGCCTACAGTTGGCTCCGGGCATTCAAAATCATGCCCAGGAATGGAGTTCTGGGAACTCGAAGACCACGAAGTGGCCTACAGTTGGCTCCGGGCATCCAAAATGTGGCCCGGGAATGGAGTTCTGGGAAGTCGAAGAGCACGAAGTGGCCTACAGTTGGCTCCGGGCATCCAAAATGTGGCCCGGGAATGGAGTTCTGGGAAGTCGAAGAGCACGAAGTGGCCTACAGTTGGCTCCGGGCATTCAGAATGTGGCCCGGGAATGGAGTTCTGGGAGGTCGAAGAGCACGAAGTGTGTGACTGTATGCGAAAAACGATCCCCCCCGGCAAACCCCAACGGCCCCCCAACGGCTGCCCAGACCCCCCTGTGGAGTAATGTGCTGCTCTCTTTTTAGACCACTAGAAACCTATCAGTCTTCGCTGTTAGGTAAAAATCGCTGGTTTTACCGAGGTGTTGGCCACATGTTCGCCTCCTGGGGGGGGGGGCACTGCTTCAGATGACTCCAAGAGCGCGTGAGAGAGCCAAAGATCATCTCCATGATGGCTCAAGCTAACCCAAGATGCTTCAAGATGGCGCCCACGATGCTCCAAGAGGCCCCAAGACCGCTCCAAGACGGCTCCAAGTGGCCACAGAGCTTCCCCAGGAGGCCCCGAAGACACCAACATCCGCCCAAAACCTTGGGAAAATCCATGTGTTTGGTTTTCCCGCCGAGGCCTCAAGATGTCTCCAAGATGGCCCAAGAGGGCTCCAAGAGCGCTCCCAAGGCTCCCAAGAGCGCTTCAAGAGGGCCCCAAGAGGCGGCCAGGAGGCCCCAGGAGGCCCCAACAGGCGCCCAAGAGGCCTTCAAGAGGCCCCCAAGAGACCCCCAAGAGGCCCCAAGAAGCTCTCCGAGGCACCCAAGACGCTTTAACAGGCGTCCGGGACCGCCACGAGGCCCCCAAGACGCTCCAAGAAGCCTCCACTGGGAGACCCTTCCTCTGTGTGCTGCCTGCTTCCCTGATCGAGGCAATTCCTCTGGGCATTGTTTCTGGATGGGCTGGTGGGGATTCTATTTTCGCAACCGCAAACGAAAACGCAGGCGGCGGGTAACGGAACGGGCGGGCCGCGCGCGAACCTGATTGCCCAACGCGCCAGCCAACAGAGGCCTAGGCGGCACTTCAGATCACCGGAAGCGGAAAGGGGTGCGGGCAGCAGCAGCCAGGAACCAGGTCCGGGAGCGCGCACATGCAATTAGCCAACTGAAGTCGGGGCGCAGCCAAAATGGCGCGGGAACGAAACCAGGATGAAGCCAGGAGCGCCACTACGACGGATCGCGGAAACCGGCAAGGCTGGGGGAACTCACGGACCAGGAACCTGGGCAAGGAAGCGGCGCCGCCAAA